CCGTGTGTATTATTTGCATATTTATGCATCTATCATGCTCTTCACAAGAATTCATAATTTATATGAAACAGGCTTTGCATATATTAAATCACTGGTAAAGCCGTTGATTCCTTTATGTGAAACAGGCTTTGTATATATCACATATTTTAGTTTTTTTTCTTCAGTTTTATTTGTGTTTTTTCATTTTCTTTGTTCTTTCTGGCTTTTTGATTCTTCGTAGGTTTCTTCATTTTTGTTTTTTCCTTTATTCTTTACAGGTTTTCTTTGCTATATTCCAGTCTTTTACTCTTTTTTATTTTCTTTTTTTGGTTTTATTTTGTTCTTTCTTCATTTTCATTGGGTTTTTTCTTTCATTTCCATTTTTTTATTTTGTTTTGGTTTTCTTTATTTCTTTCCTGGTTTTCATTGGCTTTCTTCGTTTTTTCTTGTTTCTTTCTTGGTTTTCATTGCATCCATTCTTTTGCATTGGTTTTCTTTCTTTTTCATTTTCTTTTTTATGTTTTTTTGTTTTTATTGGGTTCCTTTGTTTCTCTTGTAGATTTTCATCGATTTCTTTTTTTCAACACATGCAAACATTTTTCAGTACACATTCTATATTTTTTGTATACATCAGAAACATATTTATATACATGTTTAATATTACTAAAATATATTATTAACAGTTTTTCATAACTAATACATTTTTTACTAATATTTTGCATACATATGTACATTTATGTTATATATCTAATACATTTGTATATACACGTTTAACATCTTGTAAATACAAGATTAACATTATTTCTAACACATGGTCTACATTTTTCAATACGCGGGGATTTTTTTTAGTGGCAATAAACAGTTTTCCACACACAGTATACATTTTTTGTATACTCCGAGAACATGTTTTACATACACATTTAAAATATTTTTAAAAACATGATCAACATTTTTCATACACATTGTATTTGTTTTGTAGTATATATATTTCATATATATGACAAACATTTTTAATACACATTTAGCATTTTTCAAATGCTTGATTAATATACTTTAAATACTTTATTATCATTTTCTTCAAATGCTGGATTAACATTTAAAAAATATGTGATCAACATTTTCATGGATATTCTCTATTTCTTGTATAAATTTTTCATATATATGAGAAACATTTTCTCTATACACATTTAACATTTTCTAACAACATGATCAACATTTCTCGTACACACTTTTTTCTGTTTTATATATAGTTTTCGTATAGATGTAAAACATTTTTTATACACCTTTAACATTTTTCAAAAGCTTGATAACATTTTTCAAATACATGATTAATATTTTTTTTCAAATGTTCGATTAACATGTTTTAAATTCGTGATCAACATTTTTCATACACATTGTATGTTTTTTTATATGAGAAACATTTTCTCCATACACATTTAACATTTTTAAATGCTTAATTAACATTTTCTATAAAATGCCTTATGGTAAGTGTTTCTGTAATGTACATCTAAAATATTTGAAAGTTTCAAAAATATAGAAAACGAAAAAAAACAAGCCAGTGGCCTCCCGCGCTGGGCCGGCCCATTTAGTGAGAAGCCTGATGCGACTGCAACCTATGTCTTGCTATAAGCGAGGCATAGGTGCGCCCATACATGTGGATTACATGTGCTCATCAGAGGTACCTCTGCTTCGTCAGTGTCCTATGCCTTCCTTCTCAGTTCAAGTGTCATCGAGTTTGCTTCGGCTCCTATGGATTGTCGAGCAGATAGCAGTTATCTTTTACTTGTGTCCTTCAGTGTGTTGCTCCTTCAGAGCCTGTACCGCATCATCGTTTGGACTTTGTACTCTGTTAGTCCATTTGGGAATGAAATTGTTGACTTTTGATACCTTGTTTACACCGCTCTCTGCAATCATCCTCCTCTGCTTCGTTCTGGCTTAATGGCTTAATGCTATGAACTTTGCTTCGGTACACCTTCTAGAAAAGTTTACGGATTTTAATGCAGATTAAAAGTGAAGATTAGAAGATACCCCTTTAATCAATAAGGATAATATAGTCTTTTACATCCAAATAAATCTATTCTATATGTTTCATCTGCAGGCTAATATGGCGATAGCCTTTTTAAGTAACTTTACGGAAATGTTAACGCCCACACGTGTGGGCACCCACACGTGTGGATCCGCGTCCGTTCGTGAGCGCACGAATTTTGGCATATTTCTAGTGCCATGTAGGACTGGCCTGGTGTGTGGGCGTTCAGTCGGTCGTCCACACGGCCGTTTCACCACACAGAAGGGGCTGGTGTGTGGGCGTTCAGCAGTTCGCCCACACGCCACTTTGCACGCACACACAAGAGCTAGTGTGTGGGCATTTGGCATCTTGCCCACACGTCATTTTCCTCTCCCACACCCAAGCTGCTAGTTGCCATGTGTTTTTGCACTGCACATGGCAACTGCCCCTAGTGTGCTTTTATAAGCAGGTGGCAACTCTCTTTTTTACCCGAGTTTGCCATGTGTTTTGCAGGGTACACGGCAACTGCCTAGTGTGCACGTAAGCAGATGGCAATTTTCTTTTACCGAGTTGCCATATGTTTTTGCATGATACATGGCAACTGCCCTAACGTGCATGTACATGGCAACTGCCCTAACGTGCACGTAAGCAGATGGCAACTCTTTCTTTTTACATGGCAACTGCCCTAGCATGCTTGTGAGCACATGGTAACTCTCTCAACTACCTAGTGTTAGTATGTGGCAACTCCTAAAGTTATGAAATCATGGCAACTACATTAGATCAGACCATACATGGCAACTGCAATTGAGCAACCATGGCAACTGCAGTTGTCCGACATGGCAACCGTAGTTCAGCGACATGGCAACTGCAATTAAACGAATATGGACGAGGGTCTGGACCATGGCAACTGCGGGCGCGCGGTGACCGTCACGCGTGGCGTGCGGGACCAGGAGGTACGAGGCCTGACATACGGGCGTGTGGGCGTTATCAACTTCGCCCACACGCACGCGTGTGAGAGGAATGGGAGGGAAAAAAAGAGGCGTGTGGGCGCTAATTGTTTTGCCCACACGTAGGTGTGTGGGTTGTTCCTCTTATACACCATATAAAATGTGTGGGCGGACTCCCTAATGCCCACACGTGTGGCACTTATCGGCGTTCTAACTTTAAGATTCGTGTAAACTTGTAAGGGGGTGTACCGAAGCAAAAGGCGTGTTTTTTTTACTGCTCTGATGAAATTCCTAAACTGAAACGTCCGTTGTCTTGGCAATGTGGACAAGTGTTGGCTCGTCTGTAATACCATAACCTCCTGCGGCCCAAATGTTGTTTGTTTTCAGAAAACCAAGCTCGAGGATATTTCCATGTTCAAGATCAAATCTCTTCTTCCAAGTCGACTGCACTCGCATGCTCTATCTTCTGGTGGGATTTCGATAGCGTAGGATCAGGCGAATGTCACCTGTCATACTCATAAATTCCGTAGCACTGTCCAGGTATCCTCAGTTTCAAGCAACTTATCAGCACTGTTAACCACTGTTTATGCTCCTTGTAACCAAGAAAGGTCGTTTTGTCCAAGTCACGGATCAACTTGCCTGCTCTGTCAATGAAGCATGGATGATTGTGAGAGATTTTAACATGTATATATAGATATGATCATGAGAAGTCCAGTTGCCGCATCAATTGACAATGCTCTGGATGACATTGACGTCGCCAATAGAATTTTTACCTGTTCAAATAAGAGAAGGAATCCTACTCTGGTCTAGACAGGGTGCTTGTCAATGCGGATTGGAATTTATGCTTCCTCCAAACTTCTGCTAGGGTTGAGACTGCTATTACATCGGATCAGACACCCATCTTGGTGGAGTTTAACAGAGAGACACCAAAATGCAGATTATTTCGGTTTGAAAACCACTGGGTGGACATGGAGGAAACCAGAAACATTATACAGGAAGGGTGGGCTAGGGGCACCAGGCACATCAGCTCGTCAACCTCACTAATCAGCTTAAAATTGGGGCGCATCAGGGGATTCAGGGCTGCTCTCAGGAATTGGAGCCGTCAAAAGGCGTTGTTGTTCAGGCCAATTGGGGCGCATCAGGGCTCCAAACTTACTCTGGTCCGTCCCAATTGACAATAACAAACGGGCTGGGGTTCACCTTCAGTAAGTTTGCTTCGGCAAAGGCTGAGAAGCTGACTCTCTGGCAGACTGCAATGTAGCGAAGAAGAGCAAAGATCAGATGGTGTGTTGCAGGAGATGAAAACAGCCAGTTTTTACATGCTGCTGCCAACCATCAGGTCGCAGCTGGGTCGAGCATTTTGGCATCACTGACAGCGTCACTTATTTCCGAACGGAGCGAATACTGTTTACAGAGATTTGCTAGGACAACCCTCTCCATCCGTCGCTCCTGTTCAGAAATTAATCCCCGGTAGTGAAGGGCATGATGCACCTGCACCCAGCCGATGAACAGCCCGGAGTCGTCTGCCTCCGTGCAAACTTCCGGAATCACAGGGTCCAGCCGAGACAAGGCGACTTCTGTGGCGTGAACCGTTTGTTGTGCTGGATGCTATTCGCTTCCGCACAGCGAACGATGTCAGGCATTGACAGGTTATTCAATTCCCTCCGACACAAATTCATAGGAAGTGTTTTTTACCGCAATTTGCATCCAGATTCAGTTCACTGCTCCGTTTTTGTGCATAGTTTACCGCTCTGCTGTTGCTTTCTCAAATACTCCTCCAGAGCAGTAAACTGAATCCACAAGCATGAGCCGAACAACTGCCATCTGTCAAAATTCGTTTGCCAATTTCAGCCACACGGGCAACAGGTGACGCGTCAGTGATTCAAATCTCCTGTGCAATGACTCAAAGAGACAGCAGCATATTTGGGAATTCAGAGAGATTACTGAATTTCTTCCATGAACATGAACACAACACAGGGTACATCAACAACTAGACGGAACACCTTCACATCACTAATCAGACGAACACTACACAGCACACATCCTAAACGACAGAGAGCGCATCTCTCTTAAGCTTTCTTCGGGGTGGCGGCCTTCTTGGGCGACTTGGCGGCCTTCTTGGGGGACTTGGGCGCCTGGCCCTCCTTCTCCGCCGTCTTCTTGGGGAGCAGCACGGGGTTGATCTTGGGGATGACGCCGCCGTGCGCGATGGTGACGCCGGCCAGCAGCTTGCCGAGCTCCTCGTCGTTCCGGACGGCGAGCAGCAGGTGGCGCGGGATGATGCGGCTCTTCTTGTTGTCCTTGGCGGCGTTGCCGGCGAGCTCCAGCAGCTCGGCGGCGAGGTACTCGAGGACGGCGGCGAGGTAGACGGGGGCGCCGGTGCCGACGCGCTGGGCGTAGCGGCCCTTCTTGAGGTACCGCCCGATGCGACCGACGGGGAACTGGAGCCCGGCCTTCACGGACCGGGTCACCGACTTCTTCCTGGGCCCGCCGGCCTTGCGCCCGGCGGCGCCCTTCTTCCCCTTGGCGCCGGTGGCCGTGGCGTCCATGGCTTGCGGGAGCGGGCGGTAGGTCGGGATTGGGATGGAGAGAGCCAGACTGCCGGAGAGCCGTGGTGTGAGGTGCCGGGGAGGGGGCGCGGGTATTTAGAGCTTCGGACGGCGCGTGGTGGGCCCGTCGATCCGCGGGGCGTCGGCGTTCGGCGGTTGGATCTGGGGGGGAGTGGACGGACGCGATGCGGTCTGGGGAGGGGCGATCCGTGGGAGGCACGGTTGGACCAATCAGGCGCGAGGAGATTTCGGAGGCCGCGAATTTTGCGCCTCTCTTTTCCTGCCTACCGGGGGTGAGATCGAGCGGTGAGTTTCGCGGCGTGGGCGGGTGGCAGTGGACTGGGCGTACTCGCTTTTTTTTTAGGGACTGGGTGTACTAGTACTACTCCGACTTGCTAAGAGCATCTCTAGCAGGTCCCGCAACTGGCCGTCCCGCGAAACTCGGTTACAATATTTGGAAACAATTTTTGTAGAACGCTGGACGTTTAGCTAGAATAGATCCTTCATACAGACACCGCATAGTTAAATTTATAGTTCGTGCGTAAACATAGATCACCGGAGTTCATACTACATGCCATACGGGAGTTCATACTTAATACAAACCGAAATTAAACAGTTCTATTAAACGAAAAGCATACTAGCATACTATATCTACTCGTCTTCGTCGCGGGGCGGGTTGCTGTGGAGGTGGTGGTACATGAGGGTGCTGGAGAGGATCTACGTGAGCCGATACTCTTCGAAGAGCGTCGGGACGCGCGTGGCTGCAGCTTCATCTCTGGCGGTAGTGGTCTCCTTGGCCTCCCACCACGCCTTCTCCGCCTCCCGACGACGCTTCAGCGACAGAGAGAAGATGCGGTCGAGACATCGAAAGTTCGCCCACGCCCATGCGCCAACGCCAAAAAACTACGGGAGCGGGCGCCGCGAATCCACGCCTGCTCCCTTCGTCGTTCGTCCACCGACGGGTGGAGGAAGTGTTGGGAAACGTGGTAAAAAACAAAACGAAAATCGGCCTACGAACACCCACGAACAATATGAAGGTGCATTAGGGGATTGGATCATGATCGTTACAAACTCCGAGTATGTAGTGGAAGCAGACGAGTCGATGTAGATCGTACTTGGAGCCCCTCAAACCGTCGATGAACGATCCCGCAAACCACCCTCGAACTGAAGACCAAAAGCACGACGTCTCTACAGTTTGCAAGCGTACGATCTTCACGATCCGGCAGCGCTTCACTATCCAGAACTAATCACCGCCGAAGAATTAGAGGAGAAGATTACAACCAGTCAAAGCTTCTAATTATGAGGATTAGAGAAACTAGAACTAGATCTAATTATCTCAATTAGGACTAGTAGTATTGGGTTAGAGGAGACGCGTAAAAATTGCATGTCAAAAGAGCCCAATACCTCAAGTATATATAGGTTGGAGGGGAGGAGGGGACGCCACAAGGGGGATTACCCTCTCCTTGCGCGAGACAACGAGGGAAGGATGAATTTTTTTCCCACCCCCAATTTGGCCTCCCTATAGGGAAAGAGGGGTTGCCTCCCCTATTAGGCCTTGGTGGCCCAATTCTTCCTCCGTCACTTGGCCTTTTTAGGCCCATTGATATTAAACTAAATATAAAAGCCTCCTATGGATTGCTAGAGCACACCATATATAATTTAACATAACTGAAAATAATTTTCACCTGTATATTAATTATCAGTAATACCCGGTATTGCCCGATAAACTCGGAAACCCTTCTAGTGACCCCGAGACGCTTTCGGCTCCTCTCAGAACTATTCCGAATATTAATGAAACTATTTCATAAATAAATTGTCGATGCTTCCGTCCAACTAACATTCAGTAGGTCGTGATTAACTTAAGCTTGTGACCCTATAGGTTCGGTAAATCATAGACATGAACGAGACCCCTTTGTTCAATGATCGATAGCGGAACCGTGGATGTCCATGTCGATCCCTATGATTACATGAATGACATTCGAGTGAACTTTTGGTTATCATGTGATGTTCCCTTTGCTTCATGATACTTTACAAACCCGAGGTGAGATATATCGGTATCCTCTTGAATCATACACATGCTCACTATACCGTGATACTTTACAAAAACTGAGTCGAGATATATCGGTATCCTCTTGAGTTATACACATGCCTCACTATACCAGTCTCCTCGTTGTCAGTTTTGTTCTTCTTTCTCGTTGACGTGTTCTGGCATCCCCATGATGAAATCACTTGTGTCTGGCCAGATGATGATGGATGTCGTCACACCGAGAGGGCCCTAAGAATATCTCTCCATCCTCGGAGGAGCAAATTCCACTCTCGAACTATCGTATCCCTTGTAAAACTTTTCGATGAACCTGCAAGTTGTTGCTATGATCACCAAGTTACTAATGACATTTGAGCAACACCGAAGCTCATCGTACAGCAAGAACTGACTATGATACTCTCATGGTCTAAGGAACCAAATCATAAGTCAACAATCCAGGTTATAGCAGTGACTTATGACGGTGTTATATCAAAGTATAACAAACAAGTATTTGGCTCGATTCAGTATGATCGTTCTACTAACCTCATATTATCAGTGTTGTTCTGAGACTATCGTTACACTTAACGATGTCTCAAGATTTGGAAAACATGATCACCAACAACACTTGAATTAGTCTTAGATGTGGGACTAGGAACCTTATTTTACCATTTATCGTTCTGCACGTGCATACGAGTTTTCCACTTAATTGCATATTCCAGGATCATAGCAGTTATATATAGCATAGAGTATAAACTCTAAATTATGAACACGAAAATATAATAATACGATATTATTGCCTCTAGTGCATACTTCTGATACGTCCATTTTGCATCATGCTTTTATATCGATATTTATTGCATTATGGGTTGTTATTACACATTATGTCACAATACTTATGCCTATTCTCTCTTATTTTACAAGGTTTACATAAAGAGGGAGAATGCCGGCAACTGGGATTCTGGGCTGGAAAAGAAGCAAATATTAGAAACCTATTCTGCACAGCTTCAAAAGTCCTGAAACTTCACGGAAGCTATTTTCAGAATATATAAAAAATACTGAGCACAAGAAGTTCCAGAGGGGGCCCACACCCTGGCCACGAGGGTGGGGGCGTGCCCCCCTGCCTCGTGGGCCCCCTGGTGGCCCTTTGATGCCCATCTTCTGCTATATGGAGTCTTTCGTTGAGGAAAAAATCATAAGCAAGCTTTCATGACGAGACTCCGCCGCCATGAGGCGGAACCTTGGCGGAACCAATCTAGGGCCCCAGCGGAGCTGTTCTACCGGGGACATTTCCCTCCGGGAGGGGGAAATCATCGCTATCGTCATCACCAATGCTCCTCTCATTGGGTGAGGGCCAATCTCCATCAACATCTTCACCAACACCATCTCCTCTCAAACCCTAGTTCATCTCTTGTATCCAATTCTTGTCTCTAAGTCTGGGATTGGTACCTGTAGGTTGCTAGTAGTGTTGATTACTCCTCGTAGTTGATGCTAGTTGGTTTATTTGGTGGAAGATCATATGTTCAGATCCTATATGCATATTAATACCCCTCTGATTATGAACATGAATATGCTTTGTGAGTAGTTACGTTTGTTCCTGCGGACATGGGAGAAGGCTTGCTATTAGTAGTCATGTGAATTTGGTATTCGTTCAATATTTTGATGAGATGTATGTTGTCTCTCCTCTAGTGGTGTTATGTGAATGTCGACTACATGACACTTCACCATTATTTAGGCCTAGAGGAAGGCATTGGAAAGTAATAAGTACATGATGGGTTGCTAGAGTGACAGAAGCTTAAACCCTAGTTTATGCGTTGCTTCGTAAGGGGCTGATTTGGATCCATATGTTTCATGCTATGGTTAGGTTTACCTTAATACTTCTGTTGTAGTTGCGAATGCTTGCAATGGGGGTTAATCATAAGTGGGATGCTTGTCCAAGTAAGGACACCACCTAAGCACCGGTCCACCCACATATCAAATTATCAAAGTACCGAACGCGAATCATATGAACATGATGAAAACTAGCTTGACGATAATTCCCATGTGTCCTCGGGAGCGCTTTCTTCTATATAAGAGTTTGTCCAAGCTTATCCTTTGCTACAAAAAGGATTGGGCCACCTTGCTGCACTTTATTTACTTTTGTTACTTATTGCTCGTTACAAATTATCTTATCACAAAACTATCTATTACCTATAATTTCAGTGCTTGCGGAGAATACCTTGATGAAAACCGCTTATCATTTCCTTCTGCTCCTCGTTGGGTTCGACACTCTTACTTATCGAAAGAACTACGATAGATCCCCTATACTTGTGGGTCATCGAGACTGTTTTCTGGCGCCGTTGCCGGGGAGTGAAGCGCCTTTGGTAGGTGGAATTTGGTAAGGAAAAATTTATATAGTGTGCTGAAATTTACTGTCACTTGTTACTGTGGAAAGTAATCCTTTGAGGGGCTTGTTCAGGATATCTTCACCCCGACCAATAGAGCAAAGAGTTGCTCCTCAACCTACTGAACCTAATGAAAATGAAAATGTCTACTTTGAAATTCCTTCGGGTATGATAGAAAAACTGCTAGCTAATCCTTTTGCAGGAGATGGAACATTACATCCTGATGAGCACCTAATATATGTGGATGAAGTTTGTGGATTATTTAAGCTTGCAGGTATGCCCGATGATGTTATCAAGAAGAAGGTCTTCCCTTTATCTTTGAAGAGAGATGCATTGACATGGTATAGGCTATGTGGTGATATGGGATCATGGGACTACAAACGATTGAAATTGGAATTTCATCAGAAGTTTTATCCTATGCATCTTGTTCATCGTGATTGCAATTATATATATAATTTTTGGCCTCGCGAAGGAGAGAGCATCGCTCAAGCTTGGGGGAGGCTTAAATCAATGTTATATTCATGCCCCAATCATGAGCTCTCAAGAGAAATGATTATCCAAAAAATTTATGCTCGGCTTTCTGATAACAATCGCAC